CTTTATCGTTCGTGCTCTTTCTTCGACGGGAACACCGTTCCTTTCGACACGTTACCCTGAGTACCGTTTTATCAGTCTTTTCCGAAGAGGATTCGTAGTAGTATTATTAGAAGTTATTGTAGTAATTGGATCTTTTTTGAAATTTTCGTCGCACGAGAACACATCCGCCAGGGTATCTTCGTCGAATTCGTCCGACGAGGCCTTTCGGCCGGCCGATTGCTAGAGTAACTTTTCCGTTATTGAATTTGTCGTAGCCGAACTCAGGGTTGAGCAGTTGTTATCGTCTTCGTAGTCTTCACCTCCTCCGTTTCCGTCCTCGTCTTCATCCTCATCGTCGTCCTCTTCGGCTTCGCCCGGCAGTAATTGTCAGTTGACTAGTTCGACCGTGACGAACTGTTTTAGTCTGTCCAAGTATTGATGGTACAGCTCGACGTCGTTGTGTCCCGCACCCTGAAAACGAAACCCCCCAATCACGTATTTGTGTGTTAAATTTAATATTTTTAATTAGCTGGATAGTTTTCTCAACTCACCACAACCCACAAGGGTTCCACCGCACGAGGACATTTTTCGTATATAGCCACTCCGTGCGAATAATCAACCACTTCGTCCTCCATTCCGTGTATAACCAGCACCGGTGAGGTAACTTTAGGCACTTTGTCAATACTGCAATAAAATTTTAATTAAATCATTTATTTATTATTTACTTTAAGTTTATTTTAGAATATTAATATTATAATTGTTTTATTTGTAATAAGAAACTGATCTTAATTTTTTTTATGTTTTGGTCAAAACTACCTTGTTAAAATTTGAAATATACTTATTAGTTTATTTGTTTAAATAACAAAAAAAAAAACTAATTAAAATTAATTATTATATTTTTATTGAATTTTTTTTTAACTTCAAAATATAATAAAATAAATAATTAATAAAATGATATATATATATTATTCCCAATTTATGAAAGAAAATAGTTGAATATAAATTTATATATTTATGATTTTAATTTTACATTAATAATGTAAATAGCATTTACTATCTATAAATAAATAAATAATATAACCTAAATGTTAAATATATTTTTGTTTAAAAAAATATTGTTTATAAGCAAAAAAAAAATGTAGTTATTGACCGAAAAACATTATCCTTGTAATAATTTTAATCTGAACTACTTTTTTCCATATTGCAAAAAAATGAATATTATTTTTAATAAATATTGATTTTTACTATTGTACACAAAGTTATGTTGTTTAAATTAATTGAGGTTAGGTTTTAAATTACTTTTATTGCTTAAACTAGTAATTGTACCCTAGAAAAAAAAAAAATGTACTGTTGTCGATTATTGATTTTAAACCTGCAAGGGACAAATCAAATAAGGGACCTCATTATTCGAAACATCCAATGTGAGTGTGTTAATGTAAATGGAAATTAAACCTTATTTAATGACATACTGTTTCAAATACAAAAGCAAAGTACCTCCTATTACATATATATAAAGGATAAAAGATGAATTGCTTAAAATATGTTAGGTAATAATTCATAGTCACCTGGGAAAGGCATCAAAAAACCAAGTTCTTTTGGTGTTTGGAAAAGCTACTCTCATTCCAGACATTAGTGGCGAATGCAATATCACTGCACCCACTTCGTATCTGCTGGCAAGATCTATCGTGGGCACTGTTCCTATGCTCTGTCCGTACAGTATTATGTTTTCCGGGCTTATCCCGTAGCTCGTTCTGAGTGCGTGCCACGCAGCGTCGATGTCCGCGTACAGATTCTTCTCCGATGGTTTACCCGAACTCGCACCG